GCGGAGACCCCGAGCCAAGAATCCCGTCCCCTAATAAAGGCTCATAAGCTCTGAGCAGTGCGTGTACAGCTGGGATAGGTGGATGACTCATCACCCTATATGACGCCATGGAATAGGCGAGGGTAGGCAGTGGAAAAACACTGGCACATGCATACCAACGTTGTTTACTTGATCCGGCAGCGGATGTCAGCGCCATCTTGTAATGGCGAATGTGAGTGCGGCTCCTCACAATTAATGATTCCTGTCTGAATCCATGGTTATTATAACAAGCATCAAACAGTGCTGCCTGAAGTCCATGCCCCTCTGTTTATGGCTTGTGATGCTACTGTGAGCCAGGTTTTCTCTTGCCCATCAATTCATGTCTTCAGCAACTGCTTTTTGTCATCATGGAACCATGGCTTCTTTTTTCAATTCTATGGCTCATAACTTTTTATCTTCTTGTAGTTTATTATGTTCAGAGTGTCATAGATCTGGCTAATGAAAATCCATGTCAGCCACATCCAATGTCCTTTTGTGTTCTGTGATTTAATCACAGCTCTGTGTCCATAGGCACTTAGGCCAATGTCTCCAACAAGAAGACACAACTTCTACAACTATGCCTATGTGCCTCATTTTACAACAACAGCAGAAAACAGCATGAGATGAGTCAGGCCAAGGGCATGAAACAGGGCTTCCCTCCTAGGCCTCCTGATGATTGACAAGAAGTGAGTCAGATTGGGAGAGTACCCATGGTATGTCAGGCAAACCAGCTTTGCCAGCAACTGCTCCACACATGTAAATCCCAGAATAGCCGTCTAGGAATTGTATCATTGAGGTAGGACACACACACCATAAAATTCATCATTTGACGAGTTGTAGGTGTACAGTGCAGTGGCACCCAGAACAGCCGTATTGGTGAACAGCCATCCGTACCCCGTCTCCGGAATACCTTCATCTTTACCACAACTGTGAAAACTCAATGAAATCAAAGAGAAACCCACCATTGTTTGTTTGGTTCTAAGTCCTGCTAAAACATAACTGTTACAACCCCACCTCAGCTGGGATGAGATAGTTGCAGTTTATACCTTCCTGTTCCTCAGTGGTCATCCCTTCTGATCCACCCTGTGCCTTTTCTAGAAAGTCTTATGTGCCCCGTGAGGTCTTCCTCAGGCCAGCACATGTGGGATTTCTCCACTGTGAGGCGCATCTGTGCGCTCCCCTGTTCTTGCTGCCAGCAGGGTTACACGGCAGCAATGAACCCTGCTCGCCTTATCTACTCACCAGGTGGCTGGGGCTGTTTCTACCGTGGGAGCACATGCCTGTCGTCCCAGCACTCAGAAGACTAAAGCAGGATTGGCTTGAGTTTGAGCCAGCCCGAGCTACATAGTGAATGTTAAGGCCAGTGTGGGGTACAGTGTGAGACCCTGTCTTAAAAAAAAATGTAGAGGAAGAGGGAAAGAGAAGGAAGGAAGGAAGAAAGAAAGGGAGAGAAGAGAGGGAGGAAAAAAGGCAAATATTCTCACACATAGCCATGTTTCTGTTTCTCTAAAGCAGATAAGCAGACACTTAGCAGTGTCATTTAATCACAGCATGAGAAGCCTGGGTTCACCCACAATGAGCTGCCTGATGATTTTCAAAGTGAGGCCATATTCCCCATGGGCACTAGCAGTTCATGAGAGACACCAGTGCCCCAGTCCTCATCAGCACTTGGGACTTTCAGTTTAGTATGTAAAAACAATTAACTTTGGTCATCGAAATAGATGTGTAGTAGTTGGTGTTGCACTGTGGCTTTAACTTGAATTTTCCTAATGACAAGTAAGGGCACTAGGTGTTTTGCTCTGCTCTGCCTTCCACATACTTTCCTTGGTGACACCTGTTCAAACCTTTTGCCCATTTTTAGGTGGATTTTCTCTTACCAAGTTTTGAGAATCTTTTTATGTGATGGACACAGGCTTGTGTTTTGAAAATACTTTCTCCAGTTGGTGACATGCATGGTAGCCTTTAGCAGACCACCAGCCCCCAGATCATAACATGGAAGCTTATTATTAGTTATGAATGCTCTGCCTTAGCTTAGGCTCCTTTCTTGCTAGCTCTTATAACTTAACACGTTTCTCTTCATCTATGTTTTACCTCTGGCTTTTTACCTGCCTTTCATTCTGTATATCTTACTTTTCTGTTTCCTCTGTGTCTGGCAGGCTGGCGGCTGTCTGGCTGACTAGCCCCAGGTGTCTCCCTTTATTTCTCCCTCATTCTCTCTTCTCTCTCTCATTCCTAAGCCTAAATCTCTTTTCCTACTTATTCTCTCTGCCCACTGGCCCTGCCCCTCCCTCTCCTGCCTAGCTATTGGCCTCTCAGCTTTTTATTAGACCAGTCAGGCGCCTTAGGCAGCCAAGGTGAAACAGCAACACATCTTTACATGATTCAACAAAGGCA